GCTGAGCTGATGACCTCAGTTGGGTCCTCAAAACTCACATTGTGAAAAAAGCTGACTCCTGCAGGATGCCTTCTGACTGTCACAGGAGTGTGTCGTCCTAGTATCCAAACACATACAGAACAGGTGTTTAAGATTCTTTCTTTGGTTCACCTTGCAGTCAGTTAAGGGTCAGTCACTCCGGGTAGCTAGAACTCCGGATGTGCCTACAGCATCATTACTGCTTACCATTTCACTTACCCTTTAGCTCTGTGGCTAGGAAGGGATCACTGAAGCATCTCTGCTGCCAGTTCCCCTTTCACCTTTGCACCAGGAAGGCATCACTCCTTACACTTACTGTTACCAGTTTGCTTTTAGCTTTGTAGTTACAATTTTGAAGACTCTGCCATTGGGTCTTCCAATTGGTCACCACCAAGTATGAAGACTTACAAACCATGAGGCCAGTGCTGGCTCACTTTGAATCTGGCCACAGAAGGCCACCACTTAACATGACACAGGCAGCTGGCAGGCTCTCTACCACAGTGCTTGAACTCTGCCTTCTTAGCTCGTTATTATTATTGCATATAGTGAGTCATTTCTTCCTCCATCCTGTGGGTCCTAGAGCTCAGTTCAGCTTGTCATGCTTGGCAGTTAAATACCCTCAACTGCAGAGCTTTCTCATCCACCTCTGTCTTTTTAATTAATTTTTTTTGGGGGGCGGGGGGCGTCACAGCACAGCTGCGGAGGTCATAGGACAATGGGAGTCATCTTTCCACCAAATGAATCCCTGGGATCAAACTGTAAAATGAACTTTTATTCACCTGTTACAATTGTCGTCTCTGAGGCTTACTGCGTACTTCTGCTAACCTAGGCCTAGTCCTGGGAGCTTCTAACCTCTGTACAATCTAACCCAGGCCTAGAATGTTTTCAGCCTCTAAGATTTACTGCTTACTAAGCTTACCCTTTCTTGTTCTGAGCTCTGAGCTGGCTGGCTCAACTCAGCTGTTCTGGCTCAAACTCCTCTCCCAGCTAACTTAGGCAATCTGGCTTTTTTCTTGGCCTCTGGATTGCTCTGCTTGGCCTCAAACTAACTCAAGCAATCTGCTCTAATCTCCTGACTCCTCATTCTTTGGCAAATTTTGCTTCTTTGGGGTATACTCTCTCATTAACAATTCCCATGGTGGGAAATCACTTTATTACTTTAGTCTTATATTTGGACAACTCATTTCTGCACAAGTGAAATGCAGTTGAAGAGTAAATCTGTTTGGAATCTATCATATTTTAACCCATCCACAAAGGAGAACTCCCTAAATTGAACTTCTCTAAATCCAGCTTTCCCTCCTAAGACTTAACAATTCAGTAATCTGAGACATGGCATCTTCTGATCTGAGGTTCCCTACACACAGAGCCATGAGCAGCTGGTGTCAGCTGAACAGTGGAAGGTGCCAAACGAAATACTTGCCCGTTTCATGCCAAATCTGACTTGTGAATGAGCAGTCCTCCCTCCCAGTCTGAACAGGGAAGTCTACTCTTATCCTGAGAGGAATAAGCCGACTCCCCTCAAGAAACGTGAGCTCATGGACTGTTCAGTCACTGAGAATCATGTGAGCTGGCAGCCATACTCAGTGGGATATGGAACTCAGACTTATGACTAGTTGAACCTAACTCTTCTCAAACCTTTTCCTCAACAAATAAATTCTGAAGATAAGTATGTAATTTGAAGAAATTCTGCCCACCAATGGACATATAGTGAGTTCTTGAGTTCTCTCTTTTGTCAGGAGCCATTCTGTTAAAGGAGCTCATTAGGCAGGTGGACCTTCTGGAAGGGGATCCTGTATTTTGCAAAGTCTGCACCATGATACAGCCCAGAATCGCTTCCAGTCTCTGACACTCATTCTTTGTGCACTGCTTCATCTTTCTATAATCTGGGATGGTGTGAATCACCACTTTCTGGATATTTACACACCCTGATAGGACAAACTTCCTATGGGATCTTAACGAAGATGTACTGCTGTTCAGATGAATTAATTCCCAATTATGGAATTTCTGATTTGATCAAACAATTTGAAAAGTTAAATTGTTTCAGAATTTCTAAAACAACTTTAGAAAGTTTATGGCTGCAATAAATACCTTTGTGGACCTTGCCTCATTAGGACACAGGCTTGAGATAGATTTGTGAAGATAAGCCTTCATTACAAATCCTGGTAAACCACATATATATAAGCAAGTTGGTTTAAACTTCCCATGAACCCAAATTATAATGGGGCTACCAAGTAATGTCTAATTAAGTACAAACCTTGATGTCATTATATAAAAACTGTTCTGTCCTTATACCTTGTTACCTTGTGTTATATACTGTTATTTTAAATTTGCTTTGTTTCTTGGAATGAAAGACAAATAAGATTATCGCCCCAAAGATAGCTGAAAAATGTGTAGCCAAGTCAGTCCTAATTGAAAAGACATATATTCTTATAACTTTTAGACCCTGTTAACCTTTAGGCCTTGTCAACCTTTGTCACTCAGAACTATGAACTTACATAATGGATACATAGATAAGACATGTTTAATTTTAAAACATGTAACCTGTTGTATTTTAGAATTCATCTGTTTTTATGCTTAATTGCCTTTTTGACTATGAAGTAACTCCTTTTCTGGGAGCTTTGTCTCAGAGGTTTAAAGTCTATACAAAAAAAGACAGCAGGACATATACACCCCGTTGGCAGAAGCCCAGTGGTGGAAGCCCATTGAATAGAAGCCCAATGGAATCTGCTGAGTTGTAAATATGTATACAGATATGTTTACATGTAAATATATATATCTGTCTGGTTTTTATACGTTACATGAGTGTATGTCAACTGTGTGTAAGGCGCTCCTTTTGTATCATCCATTGAATGTATGTATAAATATGTACAGGTCTATATGTCTGTTTGTCTATGTGTACGTATGGGCTGATACTTTGGAACTGGCAGCCCAAACTTGCTGCAGTTTCTGCAGACGGGACGGTAGCAGAAATCAACATCATTGTCATATGTAAGCTTGTGGGGATTCGTTGAAGTTAAACTTCTTAATTTCATCCACCTTTTCCCTTGAGCATGTGTGAATGAATGGTCTTTGCTTATTTCCCTCTTTCCTTTTTCTTAGCGATCTACAAACAAGTTAGCAGATTCAGGCTCTACCAGCCTAAGATAAGCAGTAAAAAGTTTACTTTAGCCTCTACAGTGGCCTGCCCCTGCAAAAAGCTAATCTCAGATCAAAAAGCCCCCTTTTACAACACTTTGTAATTTTGGCTAGAAGCCACTTTTTACAGTCCTGGCTGCAGGGAAAAATGTGATCAGTTTAAAAATTTCCTCCTTAGTAGCAGTGTAGCCAGTTCCTAGACCTACAGAAGAAATCCTGAGCTCCCTCTCCTATTTCTTTTTCTTTCAATCATCTTTCATGATCAGTTGCTGATCAGCTGCCTGAGCCATCAGCTTGGTGACCTAAGAGATAAAGCAAACGGGGGATTCTTTATCTTGTGCCAGATCCTAACCTGGACCCCGGAACTTGCCAAAGCAGACAGACATCGGCAATTGGACCCTAGGAGACTTTAACACTCTCTGCAACCTGTCTTTCTACACTGTCCTGGTAAAACTTCTCCCCCTCCCTCCTCCTCTCCTTCCTCTCATTGCCCCTTAAGTAGCTTTCCTTTCCTCTCTCTCATCATGAGAGTTGGGCCTATCCTATTAAGTCTTTCTCTGATTCATCACTGTTTCTGCCACTCAGTTAGACATCACTTTCAAACATGGGTACTTCCTTCTACAAACTAACTCTACCTTCATTGTTTGGGATTAAAGGTATGTACTACCACACCTGGGTCTAAACTTTCCTAAGACTTGCTCTATACCAGGCTGGCCTTGAACTCAGATCTGTTTGCCTCTGTCTCCTGGATTAAAGGGGTGTTTGTATTCCAGGTGGATCACACAGACCTACAAGGTCTTCGGATATGATCTCTAGCCAGGGCAGACATGTTCTGAATTAAAATTCCTCTACATCATACTCAGGCTATCAGGTAGTGATAAAGCTAGTGCCTTTACCCACTGAGCCATCTCCAGCCTCTCTTTAGTTTTCCAATTCCAGGTATTATTGACCACTGATTCTGCCACCTGACATACTGGTACATGTTGCAAATGGTGCCCTGAAAACAGATGGCCCTTTCATTTAAACACTTCCCAGCCTTGCTGCCTAGTCATCCCCAGTGAGTGAAATGTATGGTGTTAACACCCATCAAGCCTTACAGTTAGTGCACACAGAACATGGGATTTAGAAAGCTTGGTACTCCCGCAACACCTGATACTGGCATAGTTCTAATGCCTACTATTCAACCTTCATATTCTGTTCATACTTCAACTACCCATTTCTGCCTATCATGAGTCCTTTCTGTATTGTGGCATTCTATGTAAATTACTTATCTGCTAAGCCTCACAAGTTAAGACTCAGTCCTAATTCAAAACTGTGGCTGCAACACTTACTTTTAATTATTGTTTTTTTCGTTTTGTTAAGGTATCGGTCTCTATGCAGTCTAAGCTAGGGAACATACTATGATCTACATTGGCCTCAAAATCACAGCAATCCTCCCCTCTCCCTCCCTCAGGGAGCTTGGATCATAGGCATGTGCCACCATACCAGGTATAACAAGTTTTAATGATTAAAACTACAGCTAGGCACGGCAGGATGCTACCCAGGAGGCTAGACAGTATGGCTTGAGTCCAGGATTCTGATGTTAGCCTGGTCAATAAACTAAGACACCACCTCAAATTAAAGCAAAACAAGTGAATTCTGCAATTTGCAACTACAACTCTGGCACTTGGGAGACAGAGGCAGTAAAATTGCCACAAGTTTGAAGCTACCCTGGTCTACCTAGCAAGTTCCCAGCTGGCCTGGTCAGTCTACCTATAAAGAGTTTCAGATCAGCATAAGCCTATAAGACTCTATTTCAAGCTAATAAACAGCCAATCAAAAACCAGACATGATAGCACATTAAAAAGTACAGTGTATTTTCATTATATAGTATTTTATTTAAAAATTTTGTTTCTTTGGGATACACTCTCTCATTAACAATTCCCACAGTGGGAAAACACTTTATAACTTTAGTCTTATATTTGGACAACTCATTTCTGCACAAGTGAAATGCAGTTGAAGAGTAAATCTGTTTGGAATCTATCATATTTTAACCCACCCACAAAGGAGAACTCCCTAAATTGAACTTCTCTAAATCCAGCTTTCCCTCCTAAGATTTAACAATTCAGTAATCTGAGACATGGCATCTTCTGATTTGAAGAGCCATCAGCAGCTGGTGTCAGATGAACAGTGGAAGGTTCCAAACAGAACACTTGCCGGTTTCATGCCAAGTCTGACTTGTGAATGGGCAGTCCTCCCTCCCAGTCTGAACAGGGAAGTCTACTCTTATCCTAAGAGGAATAAGCTGACTCCCCTCAAGAAATGTGAGCTCATGGACTGTTCAGTCACCAAGAGTCATGTGAGCTGGCAGCCATGCTGGAACTCAGACTTATGACTAGTTGAACCTAACTCTTCTCAAACCTTTTCCTCAACAAATAAATTCTGAAAATAAGCATGTAATTAGAAGAAATTCTGCCCACCAATGAATGTACCCTTCATTCCCTCCTCATTGAGTTGAATGGCATCGACAGAGAAGAGGCAAAGAGGCATACAATCTAAGGCTGCACCAAAGAGCTCAGAGCTTCCACAGCATGGCAACTGCTCTGCAGATGCCTACATCGTGGTAGTTGAAATAACAAAGCCCAGCAAAGGTCAAAGATGCAACTGCCACGAGGCCTGCCTTGGCAGCCTTCTGCAGTGTATTCCCAGGAACGTAGTCAGTGATCACTTGTCCAAGGCCCCTAAAGAAAAGAAAAGTCACAGCACAAAGACAGTTAGAGACTAAGTGGACAAGTTAGGTACCCCACTAGCCCAAAAAATACCAAATACCCAAAGTACAAAGTCTTTATCTATTACTCAAATAATTGTTTGCCTCTTCCAGGGATTCTGTGTAGCTACTGTCACAGGTGGAATTATTTCTATGCTTTGACATAACATGCCAAAGCAACTCATGGTATTAAAAAAAGGGGGTGGGAAAAAAAAAGGGGGCGGGGACCCAAATACAATCGAAAGTTGGTAATAGCCCAACTATGGTAGTGCAGGCCTTTAATCCCAGCACTCTGGAGGCAGAGGGGAGGCCAGCCTGGTCTACAGAACAAATTCCAGGATGGCCAGAGGTACACAGAGAAACCTTGTCTCAACAAACAACAACAAAAAACTGTTGCTAACAAGTAATAAGAAGATCTCATCCTGTAAACTTACATTTCCAGAGCCATTCTACAGAAGCTAAATATTCCTCTATCTATAAAATCTTATTAAAATAAAGAAAAAGATATCTTAAAAAAGTTAAAAAAAAAGAATACCATTTAGGGGTTTGAGAGATGGCTCAGAGGTTAAGAACACTGGCTGTTCTTCCAAAGGTCCTGAGTTCAGTTCCCAGCAATCACATGATGGCTCACAACCATCTATAATGAGATCTAGTGCTGTCTTCTGGCCTGCTGGCTCACATGAAGGTAGAAATAATAAATACTGCACAAATAATAAATAACTGTATCTTAAAAAAATAAAAAAAATAAAAAGTCTTCCTTTCATTTCCAACCAAAGCCAATGCTCTACAGAGCCTTCACTCATGAAGAGTACTAAGCAGGTACTGTATGCCAGAACATGTCAGGAATGGTGAGGGTGCAAGAGATAACAGATGTGTGGAAACAGACATTCTAGTGAAACAGAAAAAAATAAGTAGTTACATATGCAGCCTAAGGAAGGGTGACCTGAAGGAAAAGAACAGCCAAAGAAAAATGCCTTGGGCCCTGGCATCTCTGAGCAACAGTAAGGAAGTTAGTGAGGCTGGAGTCTGTGAGTCAGGGAAAAATCATACCACAGCAGGGGCAGACAGCAGACGGCCCTAAACAGTGACAAGAAGTTCTAAGGAGAAAGTAACCTAAATAAGGAGTGCCCTAACTTAACTGTTTTTATAGTTTTATTTGGATGTAACTCACACTACAAATTTCACATACAGTTCAGTAGTTTAGTAGCCAGAGTTGTGAACAGTCTTCACTAATTCTAGAACATCTTCACGCACTCCAAAAGCACTAGCTATTACCCCACTCACCACCCAATCACTCATTTGCCTATTTCTATAGATTTGCCTAGTCTGACATTTCACACAAATACGATCATGCAAGACATGCCTTTTGTGTCATACTTCTAACTTAGCACTTCTATTGCTTTCAGGGTTCATCCATATTGCAGCACACCTCAGTACTTCATTCCTTTGCATAGCTGAATAATACTCTACAGTATGAACATGACATCATATTCTATTTAGGCCAGATGAATGGTTTCCACTTTTAACTAATTTAAGTAATGTGCTATGGTATTCTTGTATAAGCTTTAGTGCAGAAACATTTTGATTTCTTTTTCGTTGTTACTGTTTTGTTTTTTGAAATGAAAACGTGCTGTGTTTTTCAGGCCTCAAATTTGTATGTTGATAAGGATGACTTTGAACTTCTGATTCTTTTGCCTCCTCCTCCTTACTGCTGGGATTCCAGGCAAGCACCACCATGCCTGGATAGTGAGACAGAACATAGGGCCTCATGAATGCTAGACAAGCACTATGACAACTGAGGTAGTACACAACCAGCTCTGCGTCTGTACTTACATTACAGAAAGGGAAGGGTTGGAAGGACAATACACACAGATGTAACACATAGATGATGTGACAGATTAGAAGGTAGTGAGCGCTCCTGCGAAACACAAGGGAAGGATGACGAAGGTCAGCAGTAAGTATTAGGGAAAGCTCTGATGAAAGTATGCTGGTTAAGATCTTGAGATGGGGAACAAGTTAGGTGTGTAACTAGTAATAGCTTCAGACAGAACACGAATAGAGTGAAACCAGGATGGAGGGTGCCCCACACATCTGAGGATTAGTAAGAAAGCCAGTGTGCCTTCAAAGAGTACAGAGAAATGAGAGAAGTGAGTGTGTATGTATGTGCTTATGTGTGGGGAGTGGGGGTTGTTAAAGGATCTCAGGGCAGTCTCTTATTTGTTTACTATACCTTGAGTTATTTTGGTTTAATTTACTTTTAATTTATGTGCATTGGTGTTTTGCCTGCATGTCTACGGGAGGGTGTCAGAAGTCCTGGAACTGGAGTTATAGACAGTTGTGAGCTGCCATGTGGCTGCTAAGAATTAAACCTGGGTCCTCTGAAAGAGTAGCCAGTACTCTTAACTGCTGAGCCATTTCTCCAGCCCCTTATTTTGGCTTCTTGAGACAGGGTCTCACACTGTTGCCCAGGCTGGACCTGAACTATGTAGCAAAGCTGACCTTGAATTTAAGCTGATCCTCCAACCTCAGCAAATGTAGGGATTATAGGTATATTCTACCATACTTGAGAATTTTAAGGGTTTTTTTTCCACCCAGACAGGGTTTCTCTGTATAGCCTCGGCTGTCCTGGACTCGTTTTTGTAGACCAAGCTCACAGCAATCTACTTGCCTCTGCCTCTCCGAGTGCTGGAATTAAAGGCGTGCAACACCATGCCCAACTGAGAATTTTAAGTTTTTTAATAAAGAAAAGTCTCACTGTTGTTGCCTTGGATGACTCTGAACTAGCAATCGTCCTGCTTCAGCTCCCTGAAATAGACAGGACTGGTACACATATAGTACCACATACAGTGTCTAGACAAAACTTTAAAAATGATTTTAGCCAGGAACAGTGGCACATGCCTGTAATGTGGCACATTCCCTGAATGCCTGCACTCAAGGAAGCAGAGACAGGGGGAGTTCTGTGAGTTCGAGGCCAGCCTAGTCTACAAAGCGAGTCCAGGACAGCCAAGGCTACACAGAGAAATCCAGCCTCAAATAGATAGATAGATAGATAGATAGATAGATAGATAGATAGATAGATAGACAGACAGACAGACAGACAGATTTTAGTTTGGGTAAAATGAGATGGAGATTTTGCGAGAGAATATCTATTCCACTTAACATATTAGCAGGATTACTGGGGCTACTTTGTTGGCAACAAACACAAAGGGGATCAATTAAGAGATTATTGCTGCAGCCACAGATGACGACCAGGTATGGAGCCTGAACAAGTAAGAACACAATGGGATGACAATAATCCACACAGAAAGAGAAAGAGCCAGGTGTTGTGGTGCACACTTATAATCCCAGGACAAGGGAGGCAAAGCTCATTCTCTAAGTTCCAGGTCAGCTAGGGCTACAGAGTAAAACCCCATTTCAGAAAGTGTATAGGATGAAGGTTTGACTTGGTAACACAGGTCTGTGACTCCAGAAATTGAAATGTGCAGGAAGGAGGATCAGGAGTTCAATGTTATCCTTGGCTCCACAAAACCCTATCTCCAAAAAAAAAAAAAAAAAAAAAAAAAAAGATACAGGAGGAACAGATGGGGAGACAATCAGAAACTGGCTTTACAAACACTGTGTTCAAATGGTCTATAAAGATTATTAAAATTATGACAGCAAACAATCAGATGGATACATGCTAGGCATGTTAATTGTGGTAGGTTGAATGAGAATGGCCTCCGAAAACTTATCATTTGAATACTTGGTCCCCAATTGGTGGAATAGTTTGGGGAGGATTAGAAGGCGTGGCCTTGCTGGAAGAGGTGTCACTGGCAGTGCCTTTGAGGTTTCAAATGACCCTTGCCATCCCCAGTATCTCTTATCAGATCAAGACATGAACTCTCAGCTACAGCTCCAGTACTTGCCTGCTGTCATGCTCCCACCATAATGGCCTCTGAAACCATAAACCCCAAATAAACTCTTGGTCATAGTGTCTTTTCACAACAATAGAAAAGTAGCTAAGATGGAGGCACATATATGTAATCCCAGCACTTGAGGCTGAGTCAAAACATTTTCAAATTTAAGACCAGCCTGGGTTATATATTAAGACTTTGACTCAAAAAAACCAAAAATATAAATATCAATAACCTACTCACATACCCAGATTTATTTGGCCATTGATAGTTGTATGTTTTTAAGTTTTCTACAAGTATTGAGAATTCCAATTTTTCCTTCAGAAACAAACAAGCTTAAAGCAAACAGAGCAAGCAGACAATGCAGAGGGACTGTTGTACTTGCCAGTAACTGTGCAGGGTGAGGGTTGCGGCCAGCGAGTAGTCCACCACAGAGCAGGGATTCAAGTACCCAGCTGGAAACAGGCCCAAGAGCAAAACACTGACAACCCTCTCACTGGTCCAGTGGAGAGTTGCAGCTTTGGAACCAGCTACAAAAAGAACCAGAGTCACAAGAGATGAGAAAGGACAAACACTTCAATCACATGACTACCAAGCCTGTCAGAATGGTGAATTGCATACAGAGCGAAGCACAGCATATCCTCTGTGTCTCTGAGCACAAGACACACTTTGCATATAGGCAAGATAGCAGGCTAATTGTCTGTGGAATTCAGGCAACCTTGGACTTCAGTGAGTCAAGCATCTTATGAATATATTCTAGCAATCCCTAATGGTACCCCTTTATAATAATAATAACTGTCTAGTCTATGGGGGAAAATGTGAAATGTTTTTAAAACAGCTTAAACCAGAGTGAAAAAGAAGCAAAGGTATAAGGCTACTTTTTAGGGTTATGGTCCTTCTGTCCCTTTACAACTCAGTGCCAAACAAATGAAACATGAAGACTGCTTTTAGACGAGTGAAAACCAACACAGGCTCTAAGCATTGCTAAGGCGTTATGAACTCCTTAGAGCACCTGATAAAGGATGGAAGTCCTGCCCAGAAAAACGCACATGGGCACATACATTAACATCTATGCGTACATCTTCGGGGGGCTTTCTTCAGTCCCATGTACTCCATGTACTCTAAATCTAACAAGGAAATTCAGAACAACAAAATGGTCAAAAACAAAAAGGTTTTTAAAATGCAGAAAAGCCCTACAGCTTCAATTTCTCATCACTCAGATACAACTCTAAGTGGCTGACTTAAAGAGGAAAGGGGCTGGAGAGATGGCTCAGAGGTTAAGAGCACGAGCTGTTCTTCCAAAAGGTCCTGAGTTCAATTCCCAGCAACCACATGCTGGCTCATAACCATCTATAGTAAGATCTGGTGTACAGGCAGAATGTTGTATTAATTATAAATAAATCTTTAAAAAAAAATCAAGAGGGAAAAAAAAAGAATCAAGGACTGAAAGGCAAAAAAATATAAAGAACTGATTTACAAATCTCAGCAGCCAGGCATGCAAATATCTATAACCACAGCCCCAAGAAGGCTGGGCCGGAGGCTTGTGCAGTCTAGAATACAATTCCAACCAGCTACACGAGCCTCCATCTCAAAAGAAGTAACAAATAAACAAAAAGGCAAATCAAAATTATGATTTCAGGAAGGTCACTGTATGTCTGAGGCTAGCCTGGACTTCAAAGCAATTTTCAAACCAGGACAAAATAAATAGTTCTCTCTCCAGACTTTAATGGAAATATTCATCATTCATATTCAGACGGAGTATCCATAGTGTTTATCTAGAAAATTCCTATGATTTTAATCAACCTAAAAAAAAAAAAAAATCCGGCTATAAATCCACGATTCAGTCCACAAGTATGTGCAATTAATTCTTCTCCACTGGATAAACAAGCACCAGCAACTATGCTATGTTAAACAGACTCCCTACAGAGTTCTTTTCTCTTTTTTTTATTTATAACTTATTTATGTACATTGGTGTTCTGCCTTCATGTGTATCTGTCTGATGGTGTCAGATCCCTTGCAACTGGCATTACGGACAGTTGTGAGCTGCCACGTAGATGCTGCGAATTGAATTCGGGTCCTTTGGAAGAACAGCCAGTGCTCTTCACCACTGAGCCATTTCTCCAGCTCCAGAGTTGTTTTCTTGATGATAATATAACACAGTTTTAAGTGTGAGGCCAGAAGGTTCTCTGTGAATATAAATGCCATTACTCATCCATGTTTGCTGTGTGCCCAAAGGTTTGTAGACTGGGTGTTTATATAACTACCAGACATGAGAGTCTCCGAGAGAAATCAAGACCAGCTAATATATATGATTAGCCCAGGTAAAGATGGCTGAAGCCACAGAACAGTTGCAGTGCACAAATATCTTTAACTTCTTTCAGGGAATCCTACACCCTCTTCTAGACTTTGTGTATCAGGCAGGCAAGTGCACAGACAGACATGGAGGCAAAACATCCATATACTTAAAATAACAAATAAAACTATTTACAAAGCAGAGGAGAGAGAACATACCGTGGTGGCTTGGTGATAGGTGAATGCGCTGTGTGCCACACCATCCTGGGGTAGGCTGGTCCTGGAGAAATGCAGAGACATAAGCATGTCTGACCACCCGGCTTCGGAGTAACAGAGCTGAGGGAAGAAAGACAGGAATCATAGCACTTCCTAATGGGATCATGAGCATGCCACTCAAATCAATACATTTTTACTTTTTAAAGGATTTCTTTTGCTACGTATGAGTGTCTTACCTACATGTATATCTGTGTACCATGTGTATGCCAGGTGCCTACAGACATCCTTCCTTATAATTAGAGTTATAGTTATGAGCCACCACGTATGTGCACTGGGAAGAGAACCCAGGTTCTCTGGAAGAACAGTAAGTGCTCTTAACCTAAGAGCCACCTGCCAGTCCCAAACTTATCTTTATTTAAAAAAAAAAAAATCTGTACTGTGGATGTAGCTCATTTGCTTGCCGAGCATGCATGGGACTATTTCCAACCTCACAAATACCCTAGCACTGGAGAGGTGGGAGCAGCAAAATCACCTACATATGGGGTTGGAGGTCAGCTTGGGATCACGTGAGACCCAGTCTCAAAAACAAACAGCCAGGTGGTAGTGGTGCATGCCTTTAATCTCAGCACTCAGAAGGGAGAGGCAGGCGAATCTCTTGTGAGTTTGAGGCCAGCCTGGTCTACAGAGTGAGTTCTAGGACAGCCAACCATCTATACTGGGATCTGATACCCTCTTCTGGCATGCAGGTGTACATGCAGATAAAGCACTTACATACATAAAAATAAATATTTTTTTAAAAAAAAACAAAAACTGGTCACCTCCTGTTCTTTCATTTTCTTATCTAGTATTAACTACAGGCAAGTCTGTGCTTGGCAAGGAGCAAGAAAGATAAGGACAAAAGTCTTTGCCTTCAAGATACACAATTTAGTTTAGAAAGTTCACCTAGTATCATCTTCCTTTTCAAAACCAAATCTCATTTGTACCCTTGGGCCCCTCCTTACTGTCCCCTTTTAGATACTCCTCTTGGTTAAAATAAGACAGACTGATGTTCACCCAACTACATCATATATTAGCCATGGGATGAGAAGCAGCTAGTTTAAATAGCTGTAGAAAAAGAATGTTCTGGTTTGCTTTCTGTTATACAATAAGTACCATAACCAAAATCAGCTCAGAGAAAGAAAGTTTATTTCAGCTTCTGATTCTGGGTTGCAGTCCATCCTTAAGGGAAATTAGGGCAAGAAATCAAGTTGGAACTGAAGCAGAAATCACAGGGGAGTGCTGCTTACTGTCCTGCTCCGTGGCTCACACTCAGCTAGCTTTATTATTCAGTCCAAGCACAACTGCCTGAAATAGTGCAGCCCACAGTAGCCTGGTTCCTTCCACGGCAACCATCATTAAGATACTCTCTCATAGACATGGCCAAAGGCTAATCTGATGGGAGGCAATTCTTAGCTGAAACAAGTAGGAAAAACTAGCCAACACTCAACAATTGCATTTACTTCGTAACATTGCTAAAAACTAGGCAAAGTATACAAAGGATTAATGAGTTCCCAGAGTGCTAACTGCATACATACACAAAAAGATAACTTAATATTTTCTCTCCAGTCTTTTTTTTTTTTGGGGGGGGGGGGGGCCAAGGGTCTCACTGTGTAGCCGTGGCTAGTTTTGCTTCTGTGAAGTGTTACCTCAATCATCTGCACTTCCCAACCATTCGACTGTGAAACTTTTTTTGTACTCCTTATGTCTGTTCCAACAAATAATGATGAATTAACTCCATTCAGCAAAATCCAGTAACAATCAATACCCAGTCAGGGATTTCCTTCTATAAATCATCAAATCCTGCTGACACATCTCCTTAACATTTCCAGAGATTGCCTTCTTTTCCTTGTACCTTCCAACCTCAGGACTTCACCTGGCTGGCCTACCACAACAGTGCTTATCTCATCTACATGACTTGTCTAAACCTATTCTATCTAAATAAGGCCATCTACTACACTGTCACTAAACCTAACTCCAGGCTGAAAGTGTACAGTTTGGCAATAGGACATGAGATGCTAGCTCAAAAGGAATGAGGGTGAGGTGGTGCACACCAGCTACTCAGGAGGCTGACACAGGTCAAGTTTCAGGCCCACCTATGCAACAATAGTAGCAACAGCAAAAATAACCCTACACTGTAAGCCTATACCTTTCAATCTTACTGGCAACCTGGGCAACACAGAGAGACTGTATTATCAAAATAGAATAAAATAAGTTCTATGGCTTAGTTCCATTTTGCCTTTCTAGGCTAATTTCACACTTTGACTTTCACAAGTATTATTTTATTTGTTCCCTTTTATCTCGCACTACGCATCTTTCCATCCCTTCAACACTGCTTTTGCTGCTCTCAGTTGCCGTTACTATAATGTACTTTCCCTGTAACACCAAGGCAGGTTCCAAAACAAGTACCGCAAATTTTCTTTGGACTCACATTAACAATGCCTACATTGCACAAGTTTTTGCTTTACTTTACCTGTACCCCTTCCCCCGCCCCCAAGAAGTTCTCCGAGGGTAGAAACTGTATTATTCGTGTTTGTATACCAACCTCTTAAGGGCCTGGTATAACCAAAACTCCTGGTTAAAATGTTAATTGAAGCCCTGAGTAGTTGTGCGTGGCTCTCATGCCAGCACTGGAGCCAGTCAAGAGGCTCCAGGCGGGCGCTCGGTTATTTCTGGTCTTATATGGCTAGATCGAGGAAAGCCAGCACTACCTAGAAACACACTCTCAAAACAAAACAAAAAAAATGTCAAACTCATTCCTGCCAACCGCAATCAAACAGGAATTTGTTTTCACATTAGCCCGACATCAGCAGCACAGCCCAGAGGCGGGACGTACGAGCTGTCGAGTACCAGGTAAACACTTGGGCCCTGGGGCTACAGCGGTCACGGTCCGCGCCGGCGCTTCGGTGGCCGAAAAGGAAGTACCTTCCTCTCAGGATGTCCCACCACCCGGAGGTCGAACCTTCACTCCTTCCCTTCCCCTGCTCCAGGCCGCGGCAGGAACCTTTGATGGCCAAGACACCTCACCTCGACCTCCTTGGCCGCTGCAGAGGGCACCCAGCTTCAAGAGAACCGCCATGTCGCTTTCGAGTGCTCAAGGACACCCAACAGTCCGGAAGCAGTTAGGTCGCAAGTCCCGCCCAACGTCCAAGAACGGTGAGGCAACCTCTCGAGCGAACCGGAAGACGGGAGGCGTTGCGCTGCTACCGCGCGTGCGTACACCAGCCAGGCACCTAACGCTGACAATGGCCGAGCTAGGTGAGGCGGACGAAGCGGAGTTACAACGCCTGGTGGCCGCCGAGCAGCAGAAGGCGCAGTTCACCGCGCAGGTACGAGGATAAGGACCTGGGAAAGGAGGGTGAGGCGCAGGTCCCGGAGCACCCACGGAGCTCTGGGCACTGCGGCTCAGCGGGCCCACTCAGTTCTCGTCCAGGCTGCGCCTCCGGCCCCAGTGACCTACAGTGCTCAGTGTTGCGTGGGAGGAAAAGCGCGCGGTGTGAAGCAGCGGGGAGGCTTGGGTGACAGAGGAGCATGGGGATCTTATCAGCCGGCCACGGGTCCGGAATGGCATTCGAAATCTCAGGGTTCTCACCTTGGGGTTCAATTGCCGGTAGGCAAGACACCGGTGGTCCTCATCGCGAACTCTGGGTTCATTGTTGCCCACTGCCTCTAAGCATTGGATGTATTTGGGGTGGGGGTGTATTTAGGCATTTTTCTAATGTTAACCGTTGCTGTCTAAATAACCTAGGTCTGACTGCTTACTAAGTCTCCTAAGTACTACCATTAAGTGCCCCGACTTCCCATTTTTTAAAGAGTGCTAGTTGCTTTGAGAATTGTTAAAAGTACGAGGGGTTTTTGGTTTTTTATTTTTGGACACAGGGTTTCTCTGTGTAGCCTTGGCTGTTCTGGAACTCACTCTGTAGACCAGGCCGGCCTTGAACTCAGAGCCTGCCTCTGCCTCCTAGGTGTTGAGATTAAAGGCGTGCACCACCACCACCTGGCAAAAGTATGAGTTCTAATGAGAATTTATTGTCTATAAGCATGTGGGGCCATTACTGGGGACAAAGCAAAGAGTAGACCCCAAAGTGATCCCAAGATACACTACTAAAAGTGGTTTTCAAGTCTCAGAATGAGAAGGTATCTACAGACCCTAATGACTAAGCTTTTTCTCTGCTCTTAGGTGCATCACTTCATGGAACTGTGTTGGGATAAATGTGTGGAGAAGCCAGGAAATCGACTAGACTCCCGCACTGAAAACTGCCTCTCTAGCTGTGTGGATCGCTTCATCGATACTACTCTTGCAATCACGGGTCGTTTTGCCCAGATCGTACAGAAAGGAGGGCAGTAGGCCATACCTCAGAGTGACAGAAGACCAAAAGACTTGTTAGTAGCACACAGATTGAATGGACAGTGGAGAAAGAACTGTCAACGTCAGGTTAGCATCAGTTACCAAGTCTGTTGATACTAAATAGTAGCAGATCAAATGTTCAAGTGAAATTTTATTTATTGGAATTAAGTAATTCCAGGTTGTATCACACCAGTTAATAAATGTAAAGTCTCCAATTCTTTTTCTTCTAAATCTCAGTTTATGATTCAAGATAAGAGATCTCTCAGAACACTAAAAAGTGTTCCAGGGCTGGTATTGCTAATGGGAGATCACAGGTTTTAAAAAGCTGCCCTAAGCCATAAGAGGAACCATCAAAGCCTTAGCCTAAAGCATGTAAGGGAATTTAGGGGTAAGAAAGGTTTAGAACAGAAACAATTTTATTGCTTATGTGACCAAGAAAATAGGAACATGAGGAAGAGGTGTAAAAAAAAAAAAAAAAAAAATCAGGCAAATGTGCATTCCTGGGGGAGAAAATAACTCTGTTAGTATGGGAGGAAGGTAAGGTCAAGACTCCAACTTGGAAGTGCCTTATTCTGTAGAATCATCTTCTGTGCTTAGAATCAGTACACTTGTAGCACAAAACTACTTCCAACAAAGATGTCACTTGCTTCTAGAAGGTTATGAGGTAGTAATTAGACTCTCCCTCCACTAAACCCAAGGAAGAAATACCATGGAACATTGACATTTGAGTACTAAAGATTATTAGTGTTTCAATATCCCAGAAGGCAGCACCTGCTCATAATCAAGGGATGCGGCACATCTGGCCAGCCATGTGTTTTAAGAACAAGCACTTTATTAGAAATATGTTCCATAAAGAGCACAAATTTAGTTAGAACTATAAAATGCCACTTCATGGGATGTCAGCATAGTTGTATTCTATTGCTGGTGTCTGTCATGCTAACCATGAAGTATTTTTGGATTACACATGCAAAAAAATGTAAGGCCAGGGAGGTTAGCTTAACCTGCTCTAGAACTCAATTAGTGGCAGAACCGTGACCAACAGTCTTAAGTCTGAGTTTTCATGCTTTTCGCTCAGGACCAAGTGAGCTCAAAGATAAAAACCCTGACAATGTCACTTCATCTTTCCTCTTAATGAAAAGTCTACTATTCTGCCAGCCACTTTCCAGTGGTATTTTGGGTTTTTTTTGTTTTGTTTTGTTTTTTTTTAAGTATGAGGATCACAGTATGTAGCAAGGGGAAATAATATCTTCTTGATAATCATAACATAAAGTCAGACTGGGAAGAAGTGGGTATGTCCCTGAGAAGTGTGTTTCATTTTGAAATTGATTCAACTGGTTTCAGGGAAAAATCTAAAATTCATTAATAGAATTAGAAATGAACAAGGAAAACAACCGGGCTTGGGGAGTATGGCTCAGTGGTAGAGCACTTGCTTAATATATGCAAGGCCTTCAGTTCAATCCCTAACTTGGGCAAAAAGAAAAAAAAAAAAAAAAAAAGACATTTAGATGGTTGTTGCCCTGAATATCTTTGAAAGCATTACTGGCAACATGACTACTCCTAATTCTTTCCATTTGATAGATAGGACAACTAAATAATTTCATTTCAAACACAAACCCATTTAGGCAATATACAGCAATGGAATTAGAAAACCATTTACTATCCAGTTACTGTCATGTTTGGGTTATACTAAATGTAGCTGTAGACCCTGACCAGCAGGGAAATTAGGCAGAAAACCATAGCAATCATCTGCGGATATTACCATGAAGGGAAAAGGTTTCTTTTTATAACCAATTCCTCACTAAGTAAACTAGATACCTGTAGGCCCAACTACAGAAGAACCAAAGCACCAAAGCTGAAAGCAGGGTACCTCGTCAAGCCATTCTATCTAGCACTACTCAAAATCCTCCTCCTTCATCCCAGACCCTTGATTCCCCCAAATCCAACATTCCAATTGGTGTACCCAGGTCATTACTGAGTTCAGCTTTCTGGGTTCTTTAATTTGCTGTATAGGTATTCTACCCTAAGTGATTAATTGGGGAAAAAAAAAATCTCTTCAAGAAACCTCAACAAAATACCAGATTCCCTATTAACAACAAAAGGGGATGGAGATTAACTATCAAAGTAGGAAAAAAGGTATCTGTGGCACGACAGCTCTGACATTAGACTCCTATGCTGCAGGAGTCACTGGCAAACCCCGTTTTGAAGAGTGGCAAGTGACCAGAGTCAGCAGGAAGCGAGGCTGCTATTTCCCATTAGTCATCCTCTGAGCTCTCCGCAGACCTTGCATCCGCAGCCACTTTCCAATTCCTGCGCTTGCTTGTCCTCTGTTCTTCAGGGCTAGCCATGGGAACGTGGACACTTTTCTCTTTCTTTTTCCTTTTGGTTTTCTTAGTGTCTCTTTCCTCAATTTCCTCAGAACTGCTAGATGCTGAATCATCTGACTGGGAAGTACCACTTTCTTCCCCTAAAGGTAAAGATTTTTTAGGAGACTTTTTCCTGGACTTTTTCTTGCTCTTATGTGGTTGCTTCCTTTTCCTGGTACTAGAAGCCCGAGTTTCTTCTGAGAACTCACTTGAGGAATCTGCTGTTATGTCCGTAGCTTCCCTTTTGTTTTTCTTCTGTTTTCTGTGTGACCGTTTTTTCTGCTTTTTTTTATGGGATTTCTTTGACTTCTTATGTTTTCGGGATTCATGGGCAGATGATTTCTCCTGGGGAGATGTTTTTTTCCCATTGGTAATGTCTTGCTGATCACTACTAATGAAAAGTAAAGACAAAATTTTTATGGAGGAAAGAAAAAGTACATTCATATTTAACATTCTGTACTCTAGGTAAATTACTAACATCTCGACATTAAATCAGAACTTTGATACCTCAAGTATAATTTGTGATGCCTATTTACTCATTAAAGCATGGTCAAACTCCCAGTGGCCATCTCCTTAATCATAACTGAGTCCTTTTCCATCTCCCATTTCCCAAGTAGAAGCCATCAACTGTGAAGAGCCACACTTGAGCATCTTTGTTACATTTTTTTTTTTTTTCTTAAAAATTTTTGGGTGGAGGGCACATGGGTGAAAAGGTGGACCTGGGAGGAATGGGAAGTGAGTATGATGGGGTGCATTGTATGAAATTCCCAAATAATCAATTATCTTAAATAAAAATGTCATTTCTCTTTGAAAAAAAAAAAATTCAGAGCTTTGAATTAGGTGAGGTGGTACACAGCTGTAATCCCAGCACTCAGAAAGCAGAAACAAGACCTCCCAAGTTTAAGGACAACCTGCTCTACATCGAAAGTCCTAGGCCAAGAGGACTACAAAGAGACTGAATGCATGCAAGCATGCATATATACACATGAGATCTCTTGATAGTGTTACTGTGAGGCTTATCTACTTTATTATTCTCATTAAGGCTTTATTTCCTCATCCTTAAAACCCAAATTAGGGGTTTTAAAGAAGGGTCAGGAGTTAAAGGTCATTCTCGGCTACATGACAAGTTCATGGCCATCTTGAGTTATAGAAATATCTACCATATGATCTACATATGAAATACTAAACACCAGTGCCCCCTTATTCATGGTTTCACTTTCTCTGACTCCTGTCACCTAGGGTCAATTCCAGAAATAATTCATAAGATTTTAATTGCACACCATTCTGAATGAATTTCCTCACTATTCCACTGTGACCCACCTAGGACCTGAATCATCCCTGGGTCTAGTTACCAGCCCTCTTAGGTCATTTACTAGCCATCTGGGTTATCAGATCCACTGTCTGATATTGCTTAATTTATATAACAACCACAAAGAACAAGCATGATGCTGACAATGCGGTTATGGCAAACTGAAGTACAAAGAAAGTTTTAGTAGGTACTGTGTGTATAAGGAAAAGAATATGGAAGATAGGTAGACAAACTATAAAACAGGCAGATGATAAGATATCTAAGGTCTCAGGCACCTTGGAACATGTTCACTACAGATGACGGTACACAGTTTCTAAAGGCCTTAGATAAGGACTGCCTCCCAACTAAATCTTGCCTGTTTTCTTGATTTTAGAGACAAGACTTCATTATGTCCCAGGCTGGACAACAACTGGACTCAAGCGATCCTCCTGCCTCAGGCTCCTGAACAGCTGGGACTATAGCCATGCATTATCATTCCAGGTTCAACAGCAAACAAATCCTTTATAAATGTTAGGAACTTTACTTAATAGCACAATTTTGTATTCATCTTAGGTATCTGGTTTTTTTCTAGTAAGTGTATTTACCTACCTGTCTGTTTCAAACTCTTCAGGATACAACTCTTTATAACCACTGTGACCCCATCTGTAAAGTAACATTAATACATGTATTTTTATAAAGCAATGCATATCATTTTTTGAAATTAAAAGGAAATTAGATTTTTGGACTGCTTGAATACACATATGTACACAGAGAAAAAGAAAAAGAAAAAGGGAGCAGAGTAAAACCACACAATAGCTCAGTGACAATCTACTTTCTATCCTCTCACTTCAGACACAGGAGGTACTGTTCTTTAACAGACAATAAAGAACTCTTACGCACTTTTCTTTAGCGGTGAAGTCCTTCCCCCAAACTACTTTATAACGTTATCTACACTGGGACACTAAAGATATTTAGTGAAAAGTGATTCACATGCCAAGGGTAGCCCAAGACAAGTCTGAATCTTTCTGTCTCTGGATTATCCATTCTGAATATACTACACAGCAGAATCAAAGAGCATGTGGCCTTTGTATTTGACTTCCTTCACCACCTGTACAATGCTCTAGGTTAAGCATGGATAATTAGTACTATCCCTTTTACTCAGTACTATTCCACTGCACTGAAAACCTGCATTCTGTTTAATGCCCTCATCGGCTATAGCCATTTGAATTTAACTTCTTAGCCATTGTAAGTATTGCTGCTATGCATACCCATCTACAAGCTTTTTTTTTTTTTTTTTGGTGTTTTGAGACAGGGTTTCTTTGTATAACCTTAGCTAACCTGAACTCTCTGTAGACAAGGCTGGCCTTGAACTCACAGAGATCCACCTGCCTCTGCCTTCTAGGCTAGGACTAAAGGCATGCGACACCACGCCCAACCTCGCCTGCAGGCTTTTATAGGGACAATCTATTTTGAAGATTTATTTATTTGTTTGAGTATCTTGTCTGCCTGGCTACATGTGCATCATAAGCAGGCCTGATGCCACGAAAGTGAGAAAAGGGTGCCAGGTCCCTTGGAACTGAGTTGCCTTATAGGCACTGAGAACCAAACACGGGTCCACTACAAGCGCAACAAGGGATCGTAACCACTGAGCCATATCTCCAACCCTTGGACAATTAGATTTCAACAAATACATATTCTCAAGCCAAGTATCACTAGGAGTCTCAAGAATGTGGTCACAAACCTGTCTGGTATATTGGATTCATAATCATATAATTTCTTGTTCCAAGATTTAGCCTTAAGAAAATCATCTTCCAGGGCCCCAGAAATTTCATTCTTTGGCCTCCAGTAGTCTCTCTGACTTTCTTCATCAAAACCATCACTTCTCATCCGACTGTAAATGAAGAGACAAACTTAGATTTAAAAGCAATCTGTGATGTCATTTTAGGGAGCACCGTGAACAAAACTCACGGAACATGCTAAGACACTACCTTTGCACCACATAACACTGACACCAGACACACTCAGCCAGTACTGGACTAAAGTCCACATTCTCCAAACACACTTGCAATACTTTCTTTCTCCTAATGATTTCCCTAGCTTTAGATTTAGATTTCTAGCTTTATAAATCAGGATTATGACCTGTCTTATGTACAAAGAACCTATGAGGACCCAGAGATATTCCTAATTACTTATAATACACCCTACATCTTCCATAAAACAGTCAAGCCTGCAAAATCTTTTATAGTCACACTCAAATTATTGCAAAGGAAATATGAAAGCCCACGGACCTGGCAAAGACAGTGAGTACATGTCGCTTTTAAAAAGAAGCCTAAGACTGGAGCTATGGCTCTGTGGTTAAGAGCACTTGTTACTTTTCCAAAGGATGCTCGTTAAAATCCTACCACCCATGTCAGGCAGGTTACTACTGCCCATAACTCCAACTTCAGGGCATCCAATGCCCTCTTCTAGCCTCTTCTGACACTGAAACAGAGACACATATACATGAATAAAATTAATACTTTAAAAGGTCTAATAAACTAGTGGGGAACAGTGTGACTAACTGATTGATTTAATTATAAGAGAATGGCTAGAGGGCAAAGCAGGTCCAAGTGCTTGCCTGGCAAGTCTGATGACCTGAGTTCTATTCAAAAACCCATAATGACAAGAAAACAAATTTCTGAAACTTGTGCTCTAACTTCCATGTGTGCACTCTGGCACACCCATATATACTCACACATCATACAAAAAGTTGCCAACACAATTAAGTAAAAGAAATTGGTTTTGTTTTTGTTTTTTGAGACAGGATCTCCTTTTATAATCTTGGCTAGCCTGGAACCCACTATATAGACCAAACTGGTCTTAAATTCAGAGAGCTACCTACCCTTGCCTCCTGAGTTCTAGGTTTAAAGGCATGAGGCACCATGCACATCAAATCATACAATTTTTATAAGACAAAAGAATGTATAGACGCTCCAGTAGAAAATCTTAAGTTACAAGCTATTAGACAAGGTTGGAATCCTTAAAACCTAAAATTTACAGTAGTCCAAGGAGAATTTTTTTAATTTTCCATTGAGAATTAGTACAGTCTTGTCTTGTTATCACAGCCATCACTATTATATTTGGATCTAAATTTAGGAAACAAGGAAGGCTTACTGATTTGCTGAACTGAATTCATCTATCCTTAACATACTAGAATGTTTTAAAGCTAAAGTTAGTAATTCTGAAAAGATGAGAGTTATTTTGGTTCTCAGAGGCACACGTCACCTTGAGCTGCTGGGTACTGTATTCCTTCTGGTCCCATGGTAAGCATCTTCCATCTGCTTCTCTAGTTCTCTGATTTTCCACATATCGGATTCCTCCTGAATCTAGACATTTTCAAAAAGGAAAGCAACAAAAACCCGTCACTAAAAATAGCACTTTGTCTGACAGAAAACGAACTACCTGAAATACAATCTGCCCTAACTATGAGGATACAGACTGGGATATGATCTGGAAAGTAAATTCTGGTTTCTCTATGTAGTTTAAAAAGTGACTAAAGAAGCCAAGTAGAGTGGCGCGCACACCTGTAATCCCAACACTCTGGGAGGCAGAAGCAGGCAGGTATCTGTATTCGAGGCCAGCCTGGTCTACAAAGTGAGACCAGGACAGCCAAGGCTACACAGAGAAACCCTGTTTTGAAAAACAAAACAAAAAGCTACTAAACAATCCAATGTAGTAAATCTATAATTTTGTAGCAACAGAGGTTATGAGCCCTGCAGACACACTGATCACCTCATGAGTCTTACAGTACTACTGCAATCAGAAAATAAACCTACATGGTTCTGAGATAAACCATGATCTTAATCACAACACAAGTGATCTTACAGGAAAGTAAAACAGGTACCACTAGAACATTTTACAAAGAAGCTGCAAAAGCTTCCATCCAACCTCAACACCACTCACATAGAACATTATAATCAACTAATCATCCTCCCTAGTATGTCTCTCCATCTTCTCGTTTCTACCAGTGACAAATCACCTGTCTAAACTTACATATTTGGCAATCATACCACCTCATTCTTTCAAGGTCTAAAATACCATGTACAGGTACGAAACATGTAAGACACCACGCCTCGCTGATGACTTCTTTACTGCCCAGAAGAGAAAGTTTATCTAAGTTTCATAAAAACCAATTTTTTGAGACTTTACCATTACTTTACTAGTCAATAGCAAAGGTTACAACTGTACATATGTGCACATTTGCAAATGCAAAAAAATGTGAATTTTAAAGTAAAAACCCCAAGTTTTATACTGAATTTCAAAGTTTTGTTCAGTGCTATCAAGACTTCCTGAATATAATATTTTGTTTCAATGTGACCGGCTTAGAAATGTTAGTATGTCTGAGTGTTTAGTACCTGCCTCATACTATGTTAAATATCTTTTTTGTTTGTTTCTTGATTTTTTTAACTTTTATTAATTACACTTTATTCACTTTGTATCCCACCCAAAAACCCCACCCTCCTCCCCTCTTAATCCCACCTTCCCTTCCCCTTCTTCACGCATGCCCCTCACTGAGTGAGCTGTCCCAGAAGCAGAAAGACATATATACGGTATATACTCACTCATATAGACATATAATATAGGCTAAACCTACTAAAATCTGTACATCTAAAGAAACTAGTTAAGAGGGACCCTGACTAAAATGCTCAATCCCCATCCCAAAAGGCAAAGAGGATGAACATCAGAAGAAGAAAACAGGAAACAAGTTAGGAACCTGCCACAGAGGGCCTCTGAAAGGCTCTGCCCTGCAGACCATCAAAGCAGATGCTAAGACTTATGGTTAACTGTTGGGCAGAGTGCATAGAATCTTATGAAAGAAGTGCGAAATAGTAAGATCTGGAGAGGACAGTAATTCCACAAGGAGAGCAACATAACCAGAAAATTTGAACACAGGGGTCTTTCCTGAGACTCATACTCCAACCAAGTACCATGCATGGAGTTAACCTAGAACCCCTGCACAGATGTAGCCCATGGTAGTTCAGTGTCCAAGTAGGTGCCATAGTAATGGGAAGAGGGACTGCCTCTGACATAAACTGATTGGCCTGCTCATTGATCACTTCCCCCTGAGGGAGGAGCAGCCTTACCAGGCCACAAAAAATGACAATGCAGCCACTCCTGATGAGATCTGATAGACTAAGATCAGAAGGAAGGAGAGGGGGACCTCCCCTATCATAAAATCAATTCTAATTTGCCACTTGGGCCTTATCTTCTGTCACTACCCCTGTATCTTCTACTTTAACTTCTTATCCCAAGTGATAAATGCTTGAGAGGTAGGGATGGAATGGAGGACTTTGCATATACAAGGCATTACCACTGATGTATATCACTAGCCCTGCCATTTTTCCCTGTCTTTGTGCATTGTGCTCTCAGTCTAAAACAATGCATCTGGTAAACATCTTTATTCATCAAGAACCAGTTCAGATATCACCAATTCAAATACCATTCGTTCTGCAAAATCTTTCTAATTTTCCAAAGCAAATTCCTTTATTCCTTCATTGGTGCTCTAAAGCATTTTGTAACTATCTTCATGATATGGTACTTTCAAGCTGTGACTACTTCTTATATATCTTTGTTATCTCCGACATAATTCATGGTTTAGCATATGACTAGATTGTATCACATACCTTATTGTGAGCATCTGTATGCCGGATGACATTCCTCAGGAGAACTTTCCCCAATGGAACCCGTGACATTCTTTAATCTGAAATGAGAACCAATAACATGTAATAAATTTATTTTTATTAAATTATAACAAAATAAAAGGTAAAGGAAAAAATCACTGAACTTAGAAAATCTAAAGAAGACTTTTTCCTTCACTATTATGTCAGACTACAGTGTATGTAAGAATGAAAGAGGATGGACTACATTAAATCTTTAAAATTCCACAAAGCTGCTCAAAATTGTTTCTATGAGCACCATTTTATTTAGTCCTCACAATTCTATTTAAGAGTCAAGTAATCCCCAGGATCCGTGGAGGATTGGTTTCAGGGCCCATAAAGACAACAATCCAAGTGTGGGCTGGGGATATAGTTCAATGGTAGAGCATTTGCCTAACATATAGAGCCACCCTGGATTCAGTCCCTCGGTAACACCTACATGCTCACACATGCTCATCTTTTTAGAATGGTGTAGTATCTACATATAAACTATATACTCCTGTGTGTTTTAAATTACGACTTTTTTTAGAAGGGTCTCAAGTAGCCTCAGTTAGCCCTTAACTCCTCATCCTCTTACCTCCACCTGCCAAGTTCAGAGACAACAGGCATGCTCTTTCACATTTAGGGTGTGTGGGGGTATCTAGATTACTTATATTACCTAAAACAATGTAAATATGTTATGATGCAGATTAGAAATAATGTCAAAGGGGGAGAGGTCTGTTCATGATCAGTACAGATGCAATTTGATTCCCCAAACAGTTTCAGCTGGCTGTTGTTTTAACCTGGGGGGGGGGGGGGGGGGGGAAAGGGGGGAATCCTCAAGTCTGTACTCTATCCCCACTCCTACTTTGAAAATCAAGTTCCTTAAAGCTGTAACTCCTCCCCAGGCTGCATAGACCCAGGCAATGGATTATGCCAGTGTCCAGGTTATAAATCAAATTCTCCAAAATTCGCTTGCAATGAAGTAAACATCTAGATTTGAGGGTGTCAAACACCAGGTATATCAACAGTAATAAACACTGAATTATAAAAAAAATCTTAAAATGACCTAAATATCTCTACCCAGGTCATTTTCTTTCCTACACCGTACGAAACTTTCCGAAACCCAGGAAACAAAGATATTGACATGTATAGCTGGCAGGGGTTTGGCGCCACCATCCCGATGCTCACTCACCCCTCGATCCTGAGGAAATCAGGCATCCTGTTAGTGTGAGACGAAGAACCACTCCATTACAAGATCTCCTCCGACCCAGGAAGCCAAGGAGTCAGGGCTGAAAGGCAGCTCTGCAGCTTCACCCGAGTCCTTCGTGAAAACGCAGCCTTCCCACCGGTTACAGAGCCCTCACCCGAGGCCCAGGCTACGGCTGCCTTCCCCGAGCCGAGCCCGCCAGGCGGCTTCCTCCGGGACCCGGGCCAGAACCGGCGCAGGCGCGCAACGCGGCCTGCGGGCGGACCCGGGCATTCCCCGCTCTCGCTGGGCTGGGACGGCGCCCGGCGGCTCGGTTTCACTCCCGGGACAGAATGGGGACACAGGGCATGGGCACGGCCTTCCGTTGGGCCCCGGGAAGTGTCTAGAGTGCCTGAGGGGGAGCTGGAGGTCTCCAAGGGGAAGTCGGGAAGAACACCCCCATGTCTGTCAGCGGGCTCCCGGCCCCGCCGCGGCCTCTGCGCTCCCGGCAGCCTTCCCTCCAAACGCCCTCCCCACACAAACACACACAAACACACCCATACCGTGCGCCGCAGCCTCGCGTGGCGGGGTGGGAGAAAAGGCGGCGGCTTCCTTCCGGGCCGGAAGTCGTGCTCCCGAGAAACGCTTCCCTCTCACGGGAGACTCCCACAGAGCGGGCTGGCTTCGCCGTGGAAGCTGACAGGTGCAGGAAGGAAGCCGGCGTTCTCCCGAGAGAGAAGCGGGACGGGCCCGCTGAGGAGCCAGTCCGGAACTGGAGAAAAGATCCCGGAACTGGGTGTAGAGACATCGCTCTACTTCGCACTCCCCGGACCCAGTTGGATGTTGGACCGGGCCTGGTTACCATGGTAACACGGGGTCGCGGCTTGTTTCCAAACTAAGAGGTGAGTTTCCTCACTTTTTGGATTGTATGTTCGTTGTCTATTTAGTCTCACCTTAATACATAATTTGAAGACGCTAACGCTTTAAAAATTTTTGGACACTTCTCTGTTGATGGAGGAGGGTGATGACAGGATCTTAGACTATTACTCTCACATAGTGTTTGTCAAGTGTTCCAGCTTTAGGTATTAGCGTTCCTAATCTTCATCTTATTTTAAGAAGAATAGCTGTATATATATAAAACTTGTTCAAGGCAACATAGTGGTCTGTAGTTAGGTAGAACTTAAACGTACTAAAAAAAGTATGGGCTCCAGTGCCCATACTTTTAACTACTGAGGATTGAGAAAATTGTGTTTCTATGTGTTTCTCCTCTTCCTTCTCCCTCTTTCCTTTACACACACACAAACACCTCACAATTTCAGGTCTGGAAGGCACTAAGTCAGCCAATATACAACTACTGGAACACCACGCAAAACGAGATTTTAAAAGAGCTTTTTGTTCCCACTGTGTTTGAAAAGACCAGACAGAGGTACAGGTACAACGTGGGAATTTAGGAAGTGGTTCGGGTTACAGACTGTAGAAGAGCCAAGAAAAAGCGGTGTATGTGTGCAATCTTTTAGACTGGAAGGAAGCAAGAGCAGTTGAGAACCTCCCCCCAAACTATTCCAAAAGCCTTCCTTCTTCCCTGAAAGAGGAAATAAGGCCATAGCTACACAGGCATGTCTTTTCGAAAGTCCTGTCTTCCCACAGGTTCTAGAGGCCTGTCTCATCACCAGTCATGAGTGCATCCTCAAAGGGTCTTCTCACGCAAATTTCCCAGTTCTGGAATATGCTCGATGATTTGTCTGAAAATGATCCTGAGCGCTACAAGAACTTCATTCAGCAGGAGCTGAAAGATGGAAAACAGTTCTGTGTGGACCCCGAACCACAGCTCTGTCTACAAACCAAGATCCTAGTATGTAGAGTTTGTGCCAGGTCTTCAATAAAACTACTCCAGGATACCTAGAGGATATCTTACTCTTCCCCTTACCTAGTGCTACTTTAACATTAGAGAAGTCTATCAAAATACCTCTCTAAACAGAAAGGAGTACAGATGAGAACATCGTACTTGGTATTTCGGAAACCCCCAAATGCAATCTTATTACATTTTATGTGAGTATGGGTTCAAGAGAGTGCATGAGCAAGGATGACTCTGGGGAGCTGGCTCACTCCTTTGATGATATGGGGATAGAATTCAGGTCCCCAGGCTTGGAGTCAGGAGCTCTTCCCTACTGAGCCATCAAACTGGTCGTAGTGTAATGTTTGTTGCTGAGAGGGTCTCTTTATATAGTCCTGCGTGTCTGATGCTATGAAGACCTGGCTGTCCTTAAACCCTGAGATTCTCCCACTTGTGCATCCTGAGTGCTGGGATTACTAGCCCCTGGTTCTCATGTAATGATTTCATAAGACTCAGGAGTCAGGGATTTTTCAAATCAAGAGCTTACTTTATTATCAGAAATAATGAAGCAGTGAAGTGGGATCCAAATCTATTTGTTCTAAACAAATAGAACAGCTGTTTACTTCAGCGATACCTTCTGTCCAATTCCTCTGGAGAGAACAGTAGTCGGATTTAGGATGAAAAGCCAGCAGCTTTGGGGAAATCAAGTAACAAAAAATATATCTCAGTGGTAAAATGCTTGCCTAGCATATGAGGCTCTGAGTTGGAGTTGATTCCTGGCATAGTAAAATGGACGAATGAATGAATGAACCAAAACACAGGAAGAACAAATTGCTTGAAAATACTCAGGATGTCAAGCACAGTTGTAATATAATCACTGAATTAGTGGCTAGAATTCTTCGTCTTGGTAGGAGAGCTAGTTCAGTATTAGAGCCCTTGCTTAGCATGTGGGAAGACCTGAGAAAAATGTGATGACTTGATTTCAGGATATTATCAAATCTCATTAAAAAAATAACAAGTTTGTCAATATCAAAATTATTCACTTTCTAGAAACCAAAAGAAAAGATACTTTTTATCAACCTATGTCAATGGAAAAGGATCCCTGCTCCCCAATCAGCCACTCATCCTGTACCTATAAGTGTTGGCAGTCCAGAAGATTTCTCTGAGGCATCAGGTATAGAGCATTAAAGAAAGCATGTGTGCATTTTTATTGAACATAGCATTTTAAGTAAAATATTTTATTTAATGGCTATATTAATATTAATGATATAATAAGTAATATTATTTCCATTATATTGGTATAACAATTAATTATGAAACATTAATAATTACTGACAAATTGTTGTGTTTTATGCACATTTAATATGATTTCTAATAGTATGATCTGCTTTTAACCCACACAGAAATGCCAATGTAGACTTGGAATTTTGTGTATATGGTGTGTTAGAACAGGGGCCTGCATCTTTAGGCCAGATCCTACAGCCTGAATCAGCCCATGCCTTCCTGTTGAGACAGAGTTGAGAATCAGTCTATGCTGTGACCTGCAGTTTTCAGTTCATGATCACCTGGCTCTTCCATGATGTCATGTCCACTCTACTGAAGTAAATTATGTGACATGAAACTTAGTGTCAGTCCTAAAAGGTTATAAAAAAAAAAGAAACCAACAGCCTTTTCTTTGGTTCTTGGATTGGTCTTGAGGGGGATTTTCTTCATGGGGTGCTCTGAAGCTGCTGTCTGCAGGACCCCTTATTCTCCCTCCATTTTCCCTTATGGCAGCTAGCATTCCTTCCCACTACCTCTCATTCTGTAAAGCTTCTCTCCAGGCTTTGAAGGGAAGCTATGGTTCCCTTTAAGGCTCTGTCATGCTTAGATCTCCATATACTGCAGTGCTCTTGTCTACGCCTTTTCCGTACTTCAAAGCCCTTCCCCTAATAAACTGCATTTCTTCTGCAGGTACTTTTGTGTGGGCTTTCTTTTTGGACCAGCCACTGCTGGGTTAACATAAAGCTGCTGTGATTCTCTAAAACATAGGGGTGGGCCATTGTGATGCCTTTAACCCCAGCACTCGGGAAGCAGAGGCACGTGGATCTCTGAGAGTTCAAGGCCAGCCTGGTTTACAGAGAGAGTTTCAGGACAGCCAGAGCTACACAGAGAAACCATGTCTTGAAAAAGCAAATAAACAAAACCCACAGGGATGGAATCTGTAGTTTCTAGCTTTACTAAAATGGGTTAGTAAACTGCCTGACAAAAATCCTTATAGAAGCAAGTTCTCTGTGAATTACACACAGGTGCTTATACTGTCATTGATGTTGCCTACAATCCTGGTGTTCTGCAAGCAGCAGAAAAAGATCAAAGGATCAAAGATCAGTTAATAAAGATGGCCATGCACTGCATTGAGGAGCGATTCCAGTTCATACTTGCACAGTCATACCATGTTACTAGTTTTGGAATAAAAGGAAGCATCCAGAGAATGAAAGAAAAGCTGATGGACACCAAAAGTAGCTTCACAGACCTCAAAGAGATATTGGAAAAAGGTAAGTCAATGACTGAAAATAAAGGAATGTTAGTCTTTGTTTTTGTAATCTGTGTGTGTTTTTCAAACCAGAAGTCTCTATCTTAAAAGAATGAGAAACTTAAAGAGAGAAAAATATACATTATTAGAAATGTCAGAATATCCAGAAATATGTGAAAATCTTGCATGATTCCCAAGCAAATTATGTGGCTGGAGGTTCTGGGTATTTGGGTCTGTTTGTTGAGCTGTGCCAGAATCAAATCCAACCCAGAGCCTCCCATGCTAGGCAGCTAGCTACCACTGAGCCGCATGCCCAGCTCCTTCAGATACTTTACGGCTAATATTTCCAAACTAATTTAATTGTAGCTTTACCAGCTGTCTCTGTGAACACTACCTATCTTAAAGCTCACAGCCTCTCATAGTATTTTGTATCTCCCCTCCCTGTGTTTTCATAAAGAAAATACTCTTGAAAGGATCAGAAGCAGTGCCGTGAGTGAGCCAAATCACCTTCCTCAGGTGCTATTGACAAAAAAACAAGCGCCAGCCAAAGGACGCTGTCTCATAGAAGAGATCTCTAGTTCAGAAATCCAGGTGGAGGTTAAGAAACCAGCCTACAAACTGAAGGTTGTAAAGGATCAGAACGAGAAACCTCTGAAAATTGAGCTGAAAATCGAGTTACCTGGGATTAACTCAGTCTCTCTCTGTGATCTTAGTGTTTCTGAGGTAAGTTAAGCACACACTGTGGTAGTCCTGAGGCATCTCTGGGGAGTTGTTTTCAGGAAATCCTGCAGATGAGAAGACCCACCAATGACCAGTTCTGTTTTGTTTTGTTTTGTTTTGTTTTGTTTGCTTTTTATTGATTGCAAATAACATTTGCACTTCATGTACTTGAGATTACCTCTACTATTGAATAACATGTAAGTACTGATGGGGACAATTAATGATGAGGCGCACAACAGATTTTATATGAAAGAGGTTTTCAGACCGCGTTGAATTAAGCACATCATAACAGGAATACATGGCGAAGTAAAACCACCCATCACTCAAGTCCGAGGACAGAAAGGAAATAGCCAGTGTTGTGCAATCCACTTTCCAAACACACACCCAAAGACTTCACACTAAGTCCCACCTCCTAAAGGTTCCAACACCTCCCAATAGCACTTCTATCGTGCTATAGGATGAAAACACTTGGAGCTTTGGGGAATAGCTCAGATCCAACTATAGCCAGGCATGGTGGAGCACACCTTTAATCCCACAATTTAGGAGGCAGAGGCAGGCAGATCTCTGTG